TTTTGTTTTTATAATTCTATGTGTATTTTTTGTTTCTTATTATATAAAAAATTTTATACAGATACTAATAGTCGCAAAATTGATAAATATAAGTTAAGCTGTAATAATATAAAGTAAATAAAGATTTGTCTGTTACAGATCTGTAAAACATTAAATAATTAAATAAAGTGTTTATTCATTCTTGATGCTAAATGGTTCTTTTAAACTTTATTTTAGTTTTTTTTTAATTACTATTTTACCAAGTCCCCAAAATTACCTTATCATTTACCGTAATTTACCAAATAAATTATCGTCAGATTGGGTCATTTTCATCTCTACTCATGTCCGAATTTTGAACTTTGTTATCTAGGCTGTTGTGTTTGTAACTTTGTCAATCAATAATAATTTTTATGCAGCTTTGTTTTGATTTTGTTAAACTGTATATAGTTATTAACATTTAGCTCTTTCTTTTAGCGTTATATAACGGTACCTTGTCTCGTGAAATTTTACAAAACGCCACTCTCCGTGAAAAATTACTGCAACAGTTGGCGAGTTACGAACCTACTGTAACGACGGCGGAGAGCTCAATATTGCATCGTCATACAATTTATTATCCGCTACACGCGTCTTTCATGCGAGAGATAATCGAGGCACTGGAAGACCTTCCGATTTCGGCAGAGAATGCGTCCGCTATAGAATCTCAAGCTCTCGTTGCTCAGACGTTGATGCGCGTGTCTTTACAGTTTTCTCAAAACTTGCAACCTGGTGAGACGCATATAATTTTTCTCTTTTGTTAACTTTTATTACAGATCTGCGCATAACTCGCTTGATTGATCTTAATAATCATGATTTTTAGACGTAAAAAGAGAAACGTACACCGGAGTTATGGCAATGGATTGGCAAGACACCTACGTTAGCATTTTATCGTTAGTAGCAAACATCAATTACGCTTGCCATCTACAGTAAAACTCCGTTTATATTATTATTTTTATATTTGTATCCGAATATATCTCGAGAGGAGAGAGAGGAGACAAGACAATTCCGATAACCAAATGATTCGGATAATAGAAACTCACTTATTAGTTTCAATAGTAGAAGCTGATGTATTTATTAACAGTACTGGGGAAAATTTAAAGTGATTTGAGAGAAATATTTAATTAAAAAGTATATAAAAAATATAATTTGTGATACGTATCGTATATATATATATATATATATGTACAGTTGTGGACACATCGGTTGCAACACTTTTTTTCATAAGTTTGTAACATATATTTAATATACATAATATATATTTTATAGATAATTAATATTTTGCAAATGCGAACCACGATGTACTATCTTTAGTCTAGAGACAGTATAATGCCAATCGTGGTCCGCATTTGCAAAATATTAGTGCGTTTTGAAACCTACAAAAAAGAGTCGCAACCGATGTGTCCATGACTGTACATATAAAAACAGCAAATAGTTTTTAACATTTATATTTATATTTACTGAAAATATTTTATATACATAAACACATTTCGATATATCATGATAAGTTTTCTCTATTTTCTAATTTGTACTTTTAAAAATATTTTAAGTAAATATAAATATAAATGTTAAATGCCAAGTGCTGTTTATATATATATATATATTCAAAAAATTAAGTAAAAAAGTTATTTGTAAATTTTTATTTCAAGCAGTAGTTTTT